GTTGTAGAATGTCACCCAAAAGAGTGGGTACCGGATTCCGAGACATGAAGATCCTTATGACATGGATACTGATAAAGGTGTCAGGGTTGGGAAACAATACCAGACCATAGATCAGAAGAGCCAGAACATCCTCGTACGCCTTGAAGTCCAAGTCATTCCAGAAATCATTAGCCTTGCCAACCAGAAATTTGACCAAAAAGCCCTTGATCCCATTTCTAGTTTTCCAGTTGGACAATACCTCTTCTTTGGTCAAGGGGAGAATTGCAGCAATCTCTTCAGGCCTAGGAGTCTTTTCCAAACCAGTGAATGGAGTTTGTTCCAAGACAGGGATCCCAAGCAAATAAGAGAATTCTTCCAGGGTAGGAACCAGCTGGAAGTCTTGAAAGGTGAAACAGTGATACAGAGGGTCATAAAACTGGGTCAGAACACTTATCAGTTGTTGGTCCCACTTTGCAGTGACCAAGCCAAGGAGAGAACCATGTCTGTTGATGAAAGAAGAAGTGTTTGGAATCCTTCCAACCAAATCCTTGAGTAACACTGGTGGTTGAACAAAGTTGAGCCGGACAGTATTCCTACGCACGGGCATCATGATGTCCTACAAAACAGAGCAAAGATGAAACCTTTTTTTGTCTTTGAAATGGGTTAGTCCTTTATACAGGATGCATGCAATGGTATGATGGCATGATGCTATGATGAAGCACACCACAAGTATTCACATAGGCAAATAAGGCACACAAGTCACACAAGACACCCTTAGGTTTCAGGCCAGCATGAGTTTCAGGTATTACCCTCTTTTGATTTTGTTGGTTTAAAACCTGTCCTATCAAAAGTAACCGGGTTCTAGAGGATCTCATATCATTGGCTACCCTCAATCGGTCATAACTCCAGCATCGCAATCTTTTCTCGCGGCCAGAACCATCTCGAGAGTTTAGCCTCAATGAGTGTAGCATACTGCTACTGTCCTAATAGCCAAGTTGGTCAATTTAGGGTTCTAAGGTTGGTTGGTGTTTAATGACCCCTTAGAAGACCTATATTCTCCCCGTTACAACACAAGGGATATAGGTACAGACTAAGATGCCACACCAACGTAGCCACTGCTTCACCCATGTCGGTCTACGCCGGACAGGTCCCTCACAGATTATGCTACCTAAAAGGGTATTTCCCAGATCCAGGTTAGGATCTATGAAACTCCGATGCAAAGCCCACAAATGTAAAGCAAACAAAGCAATCAATTGAAAACAAAGGTGATCTAAACCCTAAGGTAACCCCACTTTTAGAATATCCCCAGCAGAGTCGCCAGTTCTGTGATACGGTGGGAGAACTGACTAGTGTTTTGCGTTCGTATTCGCACTTGTGCGGTTGAGCAAGAGTCGCCACCGACTTTTTATTTTATCCTAAAGGAAAGGTTAAAAGCACAGCAAAAACCTTTTGAGACATTTCGTGGGTTCGGGGGGTAGATTATGAAAAGGGAAGGTATTAGCACCCTTTTCATCCATGGTTATCCATGGGCTCTTAGTTACTTGGTTTTTTAGATCACTTGCCTTGTTTTTCGATTGCTTTAAGAATGGTGTGTGTGTGGGTGCTTTTTGAAAATGTTTTGGAAAAAGATGCCTTGTCTTAGGCAACTAATGTATTTGACTCGTGTTTGAGTGTTTTACAAAAGTGTGGATCTTTTCGAAAAGATGTTTTCAAATGTTTTTGAGAGTTTGTTTTGAAAGTGTTGTGGATTGTGGTTTTTGAAAAGAAGGCAAGTGTTTTTGCAAGTTGGATCTCAAGTAACTAAGAGTTTCGTCTACCCTATTATACTCAAAGGTTTTTGTTATGTTTTAACCCCTTTTTAACAATTTTGCTCTACCATTGAAATTGGTAGACAATCTTGCGTTTAGGAAGTTTGTTCGGGACGGGCGCGGGTCATCGTATGGACCATGAATGCAATGGTGCCAAGTGTCTTTGGCAATTTTGCTTTGAAGGGACTATGATCATTCCGTTTAGGCAACACTTTGAGGGACTTATGATCATTTTGATTTTTGTTTTGCCAAAGATACTCGACGTGCAAACATGGCCCATTTTGGAAGGCAACATGTAGGATTACCCTAGGGGGTGCAAGTGTGATTGTGTATTGATTACATGTATTTGTCTTGTATTAGGTTATCTAGCGTTTGATTTTATGTACATACAAACCCTAGGTCTAACCATGGTATAATTGAAAGCGATAAATTGCGGAAATATAAAATCTACGCTATTACAAAGTGGTATCCGGGAGTGGGGGTATAAATGTACAAGAGGGGATGAGACTTATAGTATCCAATAAGTTACAACCAAATCGAATGTGCGATCAAATGTAAATATCGAATATGCAAATATAAGATAAACAAATGTATATAGGGCAATGTGAATGTATTGGTGTAAGTGTACATGTATATGAATATGTGTAATTATCTACAAGTGTGATAGTGTGAAATTTAAGCGTATTAGGGTTTTTGACCTAGATATGTATTTTAATGAATCTTTGATTTGTATATTTAATTATGTATAAAAGAAAAAAGTGTTTTAAATTAAATGTTCAAGTTTTAATTAAGAAGTATCTTTGTTTGTTTACATACAAAAAAGTATTTTAATCAAATGTTTGTGAATTTTAATATTAGGGAAAAAATGTATTTCTATTATTATGTACAAGAAGTATTAAATGTCCAAAATTAAATTATGTATGTTTAAAAAGGTATTTTTTTAATGTTATGTATAAAAATATTTCAAGAAATCAAATTATACAAAAATGTTTATTTATTTTAGTATGTACAAATGGATTTTATTTAAAGAGTAAACAAAGTAAAAAAAAAGAAAGTATTTTCAATTTTTAAGTATATGACAAAATGTATTTTAATTAGAAGAAAAGAAAGATATCTTCAATTTTAAATAAATGAGGTAGCAAAATGTATTTTACTTAAGTTATGTACAAAGTATATCTTTAGTTAAAAGAACAAAAAAGTCATTTTAATTTTAAGTATATGATATAAAAGTGTTTATTATTTATATGATTTTATGATAAAAAAAGTTTGTATAATATAAAGAAAATTGGTTAGTATTAATGTTAATGTGTTATATATAAAAAAAGGGTTAATGATAATAAAAATGAGATTAAGGCTCTTTTTTGAATCCAATGGGCTTAAGGCAAAACGGAATGGGCAAGGCCCGTTTGGGGGCCAGAACGAATTTAGGGTTAGGGAATTGGTTTGTTCAGAACGAAAGTTAGGGTTGGCAGCGGCGCGTTCGTGCATTCGCTCATCTTCGTCTTCCTCGTTTGCTGTCTCAGTGCTCCCTTTGCTTCGAAGCCACCAGCGCTACCCTCAAACCTCTCTTCCCTCCAGCTCAGTGGACTCGTGATTCAAGGTTAGTTTTCAGTTTTTATGTTCTTTTTACAGATTGCATGCGTTATTTCCATTTTGAATCTAAAACCTGATTTTTGACTTACTATGAGGTGAAGGAGAAAAAGAGAGGGAAAAGTTTTGCTACCTTCGTTCCTTGGAGATGGAGGAGAGGCGGAGGAGTGGCGCTCAGGAGGCCGGAATGAGCGGAGGGAGCGTGACGAGTCTTTGCTTCTGATGACCCTGGTATTTTTTATCTGGTTGTTGTTTTTAGGGTTTTGATGATGATGTTCTGAAAAGCCTTATCTTGAAAATTCACTTTTTACCTCTTCTACTGCATGTTGCCTTTGGGAATTTGTATGCTTTGAGATGAACTTGCCCAGTGATGTTTGTACTGAGGGCCTAGGTTGCCTTGAACTTGCCTCTTCTTCTCTTGTCCCTTTGAATTGTTGGTTGCCCTTAAAGTTGATGCCTGTACTGCCCTGAACACTTGCTTACGTTGCCTTTAAACCCTTGAATTCCTGCTTGTGTCGCCTTGGTGCTTCTTCTGACTTTGCCCCCCCTTGAACAATTTTGCCTATGATGAAGAAATTCTGAGGCTTAGAGGTTGGTTTGAATATTTGGATATGGAAAGTTTTTACTTCTTGAGGGTAATGCAGGTTGATGAGGTTATACTGTGGTTGTTTGACAGTATGGACTTGAGCAGGCTCAAAGGTTGAGGAATTGATTTTGTGAGGTTTGGCCTTGGATTTGAACTTGCTTTTTGATGTTTTAGGCCAGGATAATGCAGGTTTTTATGTGTGTAGTTTATGTTGAGACAGGGTTGTGTTATTTCAGGTTATGGTTGGTTTTTGACAGTAGCAGGTGAGGTTTTGGTAGTTCTGTAGGTTATTATGTTTTTGAGCTGTATGTTTGATGGTTTATTGACAGGTTTTTGGGTTCATGGTTGTGACAGTAAGTGTTTGCATTTTGTTGAGGTTTGAACTTGCAGGTTATGGGAGGTTGGATGTTTTTTTATGTGAACTGGACAGGTTTTGGGTGGCTTGGCCTTTAACTGGTTTAGGGGGTTTATCAGGTTTTGAAGGTTTGAAGGTTGAGGCAGGGTTGTGGTATTTTCAGGTTATGTGTTTGTATGTTCAGTTTTGAGTTTTGAAATGTGTTGACAGTAGGTTTTTGCATTTTGGTTTATGGTTTGGTGTTTGAGGCATTTTACAGGATGATGGTTTTAGGCCTTTTGAGCTGGTTTATCAGGTTATGTATTTGCTTCTGTTTGTGTTTGATGGCCTTCTTGATGTAGGTAAGTGTGTTGGGAGGTTATATTGTTGGACAGTATGGTGGTTCTGTTCTGAGTTATGCAGGTTATATATTTGTGATGTTGGTGCTTGGCTCAATCAGGTTTTTCAACTCAGTATATTTTCTTTTGTTCTTTTGTCCTCTTTTTCTTGGTCTTTGGCGCCTAATATTTATTCAAACCTTGGTATTTTCTTTGATCCAAGTTTGCTGGGTAGTTTTACAAAGTTTCTTGGCACTTTTCTATTTTTGGTAATTGTCTATGCTGTGTATTTCTGCCCAGTTTTGAATAATGCTGAATTGATGCTTCTCTTGGATTATATCTTTTCTTGTTATTTCTGCACTGTCTAAACCTAAAGCCTACAAAACCTGCCTCTATTTCTCTCTTCTTCTCACTCTATAGTACAGTTGAATATTATATGATTTTACTTGTACTATCTTTTCTGAAGGGGCCCCTGTATGCTGGGAAATGATGATTAAGTCTTGCATAACACATTATTCTGCATCTTTTCTTTCTTTGACAGCTTTCTACACTTTATCTTTTCCTTGATATCTTGGCCGAAACCTCTCTTTGGTAGCCTTGAGTAGACTTGTACTTTTGACAGTGAATTGCTCTTTTTGCTTTTGATGGAAAGTGGAATTGGATTTTTCAGTTTGACTTGGATTTGAACTATGCAGTTTGAACTTTTTTTAAAAATTATGCATTTTGACATTCATGAATAAAAATGGAATTCTTCCCTCTTTGTGAACCGGGAGAAATCCCGTGATTTGCAGAGAGGGTCAACTGATCCCAGTCAGTGGCCCCTAATGATGAGCAAATTTTAACTGTCTTTTCCAATTTAACTGCTTTCTGACTTCCTCTTTCTTTCTTTTGCAGATGAAAAATGGAGCACCGGAATGAAGTGAAGAATGAAGAATTAGAAATATGATAGAATTTTTATATTTTCAATTTAATTTTTGTACACTATTATTATTTTAAATACTTTGTAATAAATACTCGTATCCAAATAATAACAATTGTAACAACTATTAAATGTGAAATAAAAATTCCATTTATATTTAATTCTTTTCAATTCCTTTTCTTTATTTACTTGTTATTTATAATTCCTTAAATTAAATAAAATGAAATTTAAATTTCAAGTATTTAATTCTTAGAGCCATAAATAATCAACTAAACAATTGTTGATGAATTCGACGTTTCCAACATTCAAAGCAACGCGCAGTCGAACACAAAAAACTGATCAGACGCAATCCCCTTTTTCACTGATTCTTTTGCCAAGCGCTGTAATTCCACACTGCACACCTCATTTGACTGGTGAATTCAAACCAACTGCCTCCTCTTACTGATTAAATCAAGATAACGCGAATTTTAACCCGAATCTCGGAATAAACTGCAAAGTGCTGTGGAATTTAAATTCTTCTGAGAATACGCCCATAAAAACTTTAACTCCTGATTAAATGCCAAATAACGCTCGCCTGATCAAAATTGAACCAAAAATCATCCAAACCCTAAGCCAACTGTGAAACAAATCCAGAGTCCTAAAAATCAGTAAAAACCCTAATTTTGCTTGACTGTCAAGAAAAGTCCGTTTGTCCGATTCTTGAGTCAGTTTGAAAAGTCAGGAAAGGCTTGAAGCTGAGATTTCTTGGGGAAAAATGCGAGGGCAAATTTTGGGGTACAACATTATGCATTGTTGAAGTTGACCTTTTTTGCAAAATTGCCAAAATTCAACTATCCCCAAAACTTCAAATTTTGTCAAATGGGCCCATTCTTTTTCACTTGTTTTGAGTTGCCATTGTAGCCCATGTGCTCTAGCCTTGGCCATGTGTCCATATCATATTTTTATTAATTATTTTTATTTTTATTTGAATTAATTTGATTTAAATTAAATAAAATCAAATAAAATCCAAAGCATTGATAACAAAGGATTTTTTGGTTGTTTCAGACTCTAATTATAGCTAGCAATGCAATCAAACTCGTATCAAGGTAATTGTGCACAAGGAGATTGGATTTAGGCCAAATTTGGAAGTTGGTTAAAGGGAATCAAATCAAATATCAAAATCATCAATGGAGTAGGATTTGTACAGAACTTGCAACCCTAATACATTGTGCAATACATAAGGGTCGTGGGAAGACCAAAACAAGGGTTGGAGATCAAGCATAGAGGGAGAACATAATTTGTAAAAAGAGGCAAAAAGTGTGAGATCGAAACAGGGCTTAGAGGCATCCTTAAGGCTTAACACTTGTCCCAATCGTCTCCTGGCCATCTCCACAGGCGAAAGCAACCAAAAGCACACGTTTTCAGACCTTCCCAAGCGTTGTAAGTCGCCCACGAACTCGCCCTGTTCTTGATTTCGTATTCTGAAATTTAGGCATTGTTAACATGTATTTATGGTATAATCTTAATCTACAGAGCATTTGCAAGTTTTTGGTATTATTTAATTGCATTTACATGACCTATATCGTGATTCACCATAGCTAGGGTTTCTTGGAGTTTTTTAGAGATTTTTGTTACAGGAATAATTGGCCTTCGTGAAAGGTACTATCTTTTTCAGGGGAACAAGACGAACTCAACCATGGCGCTAGCTTCCATTTATATTGCTCGTGGAAGAACTTAGAGTGAAGCCACGACTTTAGCTGCGGATAAATTCCACAGGTAAAAGTTACAGTTTTTAGAGGACAGGGACGAAGGCGTGTCGCTTCCCCATTTGTCCATTCAAATATTTGCGCGCTTTTTTATTGTTTTTCCAATATTTCTATTGTTTCATATATTATCTTCAGTGCTTGATTAACATACAACAAAGCAACGTAGCCCAGTTGGTCACCAAGTGTACATTCAGAGCGTTAGTGGCTGGAGGTCAAGGGTTCGATCCCTGCCTCTAGCATTTGTTATTTTTCCAAAATATTTCAGGTAATCAGGTGCACGCCTAAGCTGGAGATCCATCATACTCCCTCACCAATCAACGTGCCAGATGGCCAGATCTGGTGGCCAATATTGAAGGAGCATCAAAGGGCCAGGTTAACGCACATACACTGAATCAGAAAAGTCCAATGGATCAGCATTATTGGGCCAACAAAATTGCTTTTGACACACTCAAAATCAGGCCCATCTCTCACCTTTTTTTTAATATATTTTTGTTTGTTTTATTTAATTGTTTTATTTAATTTAATTTAAATACTAACCAATAACATAATTTCTTTTTATAAAAAAAAATCACAAAAATACTTTTTATCCAATTAAATTTCAGAACTTTATTTTTATTTAATAAATATTAATTAATTAATTAGGGTATTAATTCTAGATAACTTTAATTGATTTTGTAAATATTTAAAAACAATTAGAATTTAATAGGTTTTAACCCTAATTTATTTATTTTGTTTTCTTTCCTAAATTAACAAAAGACTCCAAAAATATGTCATTAATTATTTTTCATTAATTTATTTATTTAATAATTAATTTAGCATTTAATTTTAGGATTTAATTTCTTTTCTTAAAAATAAAATAAAAAACAACAAAAAATATCTTCTTTTAATTTAAAGGGTCAAAACCCTAATTTCACATTCGATCCAATTCACTCACGCGGTTTATTTTTCCTTATTCAATTATTGATGTATCTGCTCCGGGCTTGTAATAGTTAATTAGGATATTCATTTTTCCGCTTTTATTTTATTTTCAAAAGGTTGTTTTTGGCGATGTAAATACCCGACGCCTTGTAATAATTTAGTTTAAATTCCGCATTTTAATTTTGCAAATTATACAACTGCTAGATGTTTGATAATAGGGCTTGCATGACAAGAATGAACGCTTAATCTTAAAATGGTTAGATCACCCTTAACATGTGCAAAGATAAAAATAACTGAAATCAACACACTCACACATGCGCACTCCTAGGATACACCCCACTTGGTTGCCTTCGTAAACGGTCATTGAGTATATGTTATTTTAGAGGTCGTCCTCTTGTCTAAAAGATCATAGTTGCCTCAAAATGGTTGCCTCGGATATCGTTGCCTCAGATAAATGATCTAGACATTAGAGTTACCGCTAAGATGTCCTGACATTGCTTTAGTGACCGTATGTCCCTCTTTCGAATTAACCCTCAAACTCCAACGACGGTGCTACCTACTCACTAATAGTGGGATAACATTGTCTAAAGGAATTTAGCATAGAACGATTCCTTTTTCGAGTAGGTAGATTAATTCTTAGATACTTGCTCATCCAAAACAAAACTTTTTTCACACTTACACTCCTTTTAGAAACAAGTTTTCAAAAACACTTCATTACACTCTTGAAGACAAAAGCAAGAGTTAAATCGAAGTTAAAACAAAAACTTTTAAAAACCCACAAGCACAAAGAAAACAATTTTGAAAATGATGAGCAAGTACCTAAAAGCCCGTAGATAACTACGGATAGAAAGGGTGCTAATACCTTCCCTTTCTATAAATCTACCCCCCGTACTCAGAAATATCTCAAAAAAGGAATTTTTCTGTGCTTTTTTCCTTTCCTTGTTGGATAAAATAAAAGTCGGTGGCGACTCTTGCTTACCGTGACATTTTGCAAACACAAATGCAAAACGCGAACCAGCATTCCAAAAACAGTCAGTTCTTCCCACCGTATCACAGAACTGGCGACTCTGCTGGGGACTTAATAAGTGGGGTGTACCTTAGGATTAGTTCATCATATTGTTTTCAATTGTTTGATCTGTATGCTTTATCTTTGTAGGCTTTGTATCGGAGTTACTATAGATCCTAACCTGGATCCGGGGATACCTTTTAGGTAAGTAGCAATAGACTGTGAGGGAACTGTACGACGTAGACTGATACGGTTGAAGTAGTAGCTACGTTGGTGTGACATATTAGTTGGTACTGATATCCCTTGTGGAGGAACAAGGAGAGTATGGGGCTGCTAATGGGTTATTAAGCATCAACAGACCTTAGAACCTATAATTGACCAACTTGGCCATATAAAAGTAGCAGTATGCTACACTCATTGAGACCATACTCTCGCGATGATTCCGGCCGCAAGAAAAGGTTGCTAAACTGGAATTATGACCGATCGAGGATGGTCAGTGATATTGAGAACCTCTAGAACCTGGTTACTATTACTAGGACAGGTTGAACCAACTAAACTGCAAGAGGGTAGTACCTAAACTCCATGCCATCCTGGAATTTAAGGGCTATTATGTGACTTGTGTGCTTTCAACTTGAACTACTTGCACATGTTTGTTATCTAACAACATAAGTTCTTTGCAGGTTTTGTTTACAGTCCTTATCCAATAACTTGGATTTCTTGCCGGATTTACTTACTTACATCACCTTGCATTTGCTTAAACGCATAGCATACACATCATGACATCAT